TTAAGAGGTTTTCGCTATAGGGCGCGTGCGCTCGCCAGACAGACAGAGAGAGACATAGAGACAGAAAGCGAGAAATCACCCCCCAGGGGGGATGATCACGCCGCAATCCCTTCTCCTCCATTCTCCTCTTGGGATCTTGGGCATGCACGCACATGCGCCTGGCGTGAGTTTTAAGCCACCGGGTCTGGGACGCGAACCGCGGTCGACTACGTGGGAGTTCAGCGACATAGCCATTATGCTAACTGCTGGTTCCCATGATGACTTTTAAAACTACTAGTCAAACATGGCATAAGTCACATGTTGAGTTCTCCAAAAACAGCTGCTAGATTGGCCCTGTAGCCTAGTAATTAGGAGAGCTAGATCCCACATGGCCAACAGCAGTTCAAATCTTGGACCTGGGGGTTTGAAAAGTGAAAGTGCATGTTATGTCCCAAATCTCAACAGATGGAGAAATGGAAGAGGAGGGATTGTAGCTCAATGTCAGTGATGAAGGAGTCAACAGATCAGATTCAAAATTCAGCAAAGATTGATGCTTTAACATATGAATAAATTCTTTATAGTAAAATAAGTAATTCTTTTTTTTTTTTTTTTTTTTTGAGAGAGGTTTTCGCTATAGGGCACGTGCGCTCGCCAGACAGACAGAGACAGAGAGATAGAAAGCGAGAAATCACCCCCCCCGGGGGGGATGGTCACGCTGCAATCCCTTCTCCTCCATTCTCCTCTCAGGATCTTGGACATGCACACACATGCGCCCAGTGTGAGTTTTAAGCCACCGGGTCCGGGACTTGAACCACCATCGACTACATGGGAGTCCAGTCACATAGCCATTATGCTAACTGCTGGTTCCCTAAAATAAGTAATTCTTGACAGCAACATCTAAAGATAATGATATCCTAAATAGAAATTGGATAACTTGAGGTAGTCAGTAAAATTTGGTTGCTTACTTTGGCTAATATAGTAAATAATATAGACCACACCTGTGGGGCATGATGTTTAAGTACCTTAGCCCAAGGACCTGTAGTAAATTGAAAATCTTTGTGTTTTCTTTTGAAAAATTGTAGAGGAATCTGAATCATTGTTAATATTTTATGTTGTGATGGGTTTCCACAGGTAAATTGAAGCAATTAATATCTGCACTAGCTTGGTAGGGCTGTCATAACAATGTACCACAGATTAAGTAGCTTAAACAACAGAAATTTTTTTAAAACTTATGTTTTTCTAGTCTTGAAGTTTGCAATCAAGATGTCAAAATTGGCTTCTTCTGAGCCCTCTCTCCTTGGCTTGTCAATGGCCATCTTTTCCTTCCTGTATCTTCAGCTGGTTTCCCCTTTGTGTATGTCCTAATCTTTTTCTTATAAGGACACTAATCATGTTGGCTTTGGGCCCACTTTAGTAATTTCATTGTAATGTTACCTCTTTAATGACTGTCTCCAAATATGGTTACATTTTGAGGTACTAAGAGGACTTTAGCACAGTAATTTTGAGGGGACATGACAGCACATAACACCTTCTTAGCTGAAAGAAAAAGCAACTTGACTTATGTGGC